GCGAGCACCCCGCACAGACCCCTCCACCGACCCCGCGAGCACCCCGCACAGACCCCTCCACCGACCCCGCGAGCACCCCGCACAGACCCCTCCACAGACCCCGTGAGCACCCCGCACAGACCCCTCCACCAACCCCGTGAGCACCCCGCACAGAGCACCCGGTACAGCACCCCGCAGAGGCCCTGCACCAACCCCGTGAGCACCCTGTGAGCACCCCGCACAGAGCACCCCGCACAGAGCACCCGGTACAGCACTCCGCAGAGGCCCTGCACCAACCCCGTGAGCACCCCGTGAGCACCCCGCACAGAGCACCCCGCACAGAGCACCCGGTACAGCACCCCGCAGAGGCCCTGCACCAACCCCGTGAGCACCCCGCACAGAGCACCCCGCACAGAGCACCCGGTACAGCACTCCGCAGAGGCCCTGCACCAACCCTGTGAGCACCCCGTGAGCACCCCGCACAGAGCACCCCGCACAGAGCACCCGGTACAGCACTCCGCAGAGGCCCTGCACCAACCTCTTGGGGGCAGCGCAACCGCCCCATCTGCTTCAGCACCTTCCGGAGCCGCTCTCTTTCTTCTTGTTCCCCACCCTCAGAGGCCTCAGCATCGGTGGCCTGGGGATAGAGGGAACCTCAGGACTGACACCAGCCCAAGGGTTGGGCCTCATGGGTCCAAGGACTGGCATGGGGGGAAGCCAGAGGGAGGGTGGGAGGTGAGCAGGCCAGGGTGGGGCGGGCAGCATACCTTAGCGCTGTGTTCTGCCATGGTGTGGTAGTTGAGGCCGGCCTTGGACTTGAACTGTTTCCTGCAGTGTTGGCACTTGAGTGCCTCCTGAAGCTACAGACAGCCCAGCCATGAGCTGCTCGGCTCAAGAAGCCCGGGCACCTCCACTGAGGGCTCCTCCCGGGTCCACCTTACCTTCTGACACACTTCCATGTGCTTCTTGAGTCCCACAAGGGTCTTCCGGGTGACCACATTACAGGTGGGGCACACAGCCTCCCCCCGTTCGTGGATGGTTCGCTGCCACTGCTCCTCAGGGACACCTGTGGGGCAGGGCCAGGCCACAGGCTTGTGGACACCCGGGGCAGCACCTAGGCAGCACGGTCAGCCCCCATGCCTGCACCACAGGACCCAGCCCACCATGGGACCTGCCCTGGGCCCCCGCAGGCAGCCCCCACCTGGGGCTGGGTGGGCCACAGGAGCTGCTGACTCCTTGCAGTCTGTGATGGGAGTGGCTGGCACCTTCTTCCGCACTTCATCAGCGCCCGGCCCCTCCTGCTTCTTGGCGCGGTGAACCCGGGCCTTGTCTTCCGCTTTGGCCAAGCCTGTGCACACACACAGGGTGGGAGGTAGAGGCTAAGTGCTGGCACATATGTGGGTGCACCCAAGCTGGGGTACCCAGCTAACTGGAGTCTCACCTTTGAGCCCAAATGTGCCTGAGATGGATGGCTGCTCCCCTGTGAACTTTTTGGGTGTTTTCTGTTTCCTTCCTGACTCAGAGGAGAGAAAGCAAGGACCAAGATTCTGGTCAAATAACGATTGGGAGGTCAGGGCCCACCCCACCACCGCCCCTTCCACTTCCATCTTACTGTGCTTTGTGCGCTCCGGGTCCTCCTCAGGTGAGGACAAAGGGCCTGGAGACCGGAGCAGCTCTTTTCCAGCTGAGGACCTGCTCCCCGACAGTGCAGAGCTGTGACTGGAGCCTGCACTTGGCTGGAAAGTTGGGCTCTGACCCATGGAGGATGGGCCAAACTCCCCATTCTCTGACCTTGCCTGCTTGGGCAAGATGGGGCAGGCATCCAGGCTGTCTGCAGCCCTGCAGGGAATGGGAAGGATGAAGGCCAGGCAGGCCTGGGCCTGCCCCATGTACCCTCAGGCCCAGCCCAGGACTGCCCACCCAGAAGCGAGTTCCTATACCTTTTCTTACTGCTGTTTTTCCCTGTGGCACGAGGTGTTTTGTTTTCAGACTTGGTCAGAAGTAACATTTTGCAGGGTTGTGTATGTCTGCTGATGGCAATGGGTCTGCTGACCGGCACTGGCTTGCTGACCACAACAGGCCTGCTGACCGGCACTGGCTTAGTGACTGGCACAGGTTTTGTCACTGTCACAAGCTTGGTGACTGGCACCGGTCTGGTGACTGGCATGGCCTTGGAGACCGGCACGGGCCTGCTGACTGTGACCGGCTTGCTGATACCAATAGGCTTGCTGACCCCCACTGGCTTGCCAATACTGACGGGTTTGCTCACTCCGATGGGCTTGCTGACCCCGACAGGCCGGCTGATGGTGACCGGCCTGTTGACCGGGCCAGGCTTGGGGGCAGGCAGGGAACGGTCCATGTGATTCCAAATCCGGTGCTTCTCCAGCTGGGTCTTGGAGGTGAACGCGGCCTCGCAGAAGGGGCAAGGAAAGGCCAGCCTATCTGAGATGGCGCCCTGGGCAGGGAGGGCAGGTGTGGGAGGGGGCCCGGGGGACCTCTGCCCAGACACACCCCCAGGCCTCCTCTTTGCCAACCCACAGCCCCTTACCCCTTGGCACCGCTGGTAATGGTACTTGAGCCCGTAGATGCTGGGAAACTCCAGCCAGCACCCCGAGTTTGGACACTTCACCCTTGAATGTGCCTTGAATTCATCTTTCCACTGGTTCATCAAGGAGAGCTGGGCATAGGGAAAGACAAAGCAGCTAACCCTCAGCCACTCAGGCCTCTTCAACCTGAGTGCCAGACTTACAGCCCTCCCCAGGCCTGTAGGGCACAGAAGCCATGTGAGCCCTCCATCTCAGGACCACAGTGAGAACTTAAGTCCTACTCCAGACCTCTGCCGGGGGCCACTGGTGTGGTCCCCTGGGACCCCAGGAGACATGCTCAAACTCAGAGATGACACGGGATAGCTGAAGGCAGTTTTTAAGCAGGGCAGTGGCCCTCACAAGCTGACCCAGCGTAAACCCTACCCCAACCCTCGGGTAGCTCACAGGGATGTCTCGGAGGGCCTGGTTCTCGGCTTTCGGCCGCCCCTTTTTCTTCCCTTCTGTCCTGTCACTGGTTGGATTTCCTGGGTCAAAGCAGAGTGGGGCCTGGCCAGGCACTGTCTGTCCACTGTGGGCCACTGGCATCCCTGTGACACAGGATGCAGCAATGCTCAGGGGCTGCACAGCATCACCAGCCACCCAGGGGCAGTAGACTTAAGGGAGTCTTGACTGAGCTCACCAACACCAAGGCACAAGAATGTCTGTCCCACCCAGGATAAAAACCCAGACCTCAGGCTATATCCAAGTCAGTCTCCACCCCCCGCCCCAGGCCCATCGGGATACCCAGGTCACCCCTGCCTACTTGACTCCCTGGAGTTGATGTTGGCACTAACCCTTACCCAGCTTCAGTGGGTCTTGCAGCATGGGAAGTCGAGCCTCCTTCCGGCCGCTACCCTTCCCAGATCCACTCTTGCCAGACCCCTGGAGCCGGCGGCCTCCTCCAACACAGAAGGGGTCAGTCATCTCTGCAGAGCAAACACACAGATCTATGAGCCTGAGAGACCCAACTCAGGACCTTCATGGGGGGTGCCTTAGAGCCTGCCTCTGCCAACCCCTCTGGTCAGAAAGGAGACTTGGCTTCCAGTGTCCATCACTTGGAAAAGCAAGTGATAACGAGTTTCTGACTCATGGTAGAGGCTTCAAAGCCAACGTCTTCTCAGATAATGCAAAAGGCATAACAAAGCAGCTGGGTGCTATCATCCCAGCCACTCAGGAGGCTGAGATCTGATCACCGTTCAAAGCCAGCCCAGGCAGGAAAGTCCGTGAGACTGTCATCTCCAACTGACCACCAAAAAAGTCATAAGTGGAGCTGTGGCTCAAGTGGTAGAGTGCCAGCCTTGAGCAAAAAGAAAGCTCAGGGAAGCCATGCACAGGTGGCTCACGCCTATAATCCTAGCTACTCAGGATTGTGGTTTGAAGCCAGCCCAGGAAGAAGAGTCCCCATGAAACTCTTATCTCCAATTAACCACTCAAAAAAACCAGGAGTGGAGCTGTGGCTCAAAGTAGTAGAGCATTATCCTTGAGCAAAAGAGCTCAAGGACAGTGCCCAGGTCCTGAGTTTAAGCCCCACAACCAACAACAATAAAAAGACATCCAGGGCTGGGAAGGTGGCTCAGTGGTAGAGTGCTTGCCTTGCATGCATGAGGCCCTGCGTTGGATTCCTCAGCACCACATAAGCAAAAAGAAAAAAAAAAGCCGGAAGTGGCGCTGTGGCTCAAGTGGTAGAGCGCTAGCCTTGAGCTGAAGAGCTGAGACAGCACGCAGGCCCAGAATTCAGGCCCCATGACTGGACCCCCCTCCACCAAAAAAATTAAAAGACATCCAGGCCCTGAGTTCAAAGACCAGCACATGCACACATGCATGCATACATGTATATGTGTGTGCATAATGCACACACACACACACAGCACAAAGCAGTGAAAAGGGCCTGAGACCTTACACTAGCTCTTTTTCTGTTCATGTGGTGCTGGGGAATTGAACCGGGGCTTTGTGCATGCTAGACAAGCGCTCTACCCCTAAGCGACACTCCCATCCCCTTTCACTAGCGTTGACAAATAAATCCCCATGCCATCCCCCAGGCCTGAGGTTGGGCAAGGGATGGTCCTCAGGAGAGGCGATCTGCAAGAAGGAAGGAGGCTGACAACATACCTCCTAGGCCGATGATGGCACCTGTGAGCACAGCTGTTGCCAGGCCCAGCATTCTCACCCTACCCGGGCAGACACTATTGGATCCTTTTTAGTCTTTTTTTTTTTTTTGGGTCCAGTCGTGGGGCCTGAACTCTGGGCCTGGGCGCTGTCCCTCAGCTCTTCAGCTCAAGGCTAGCGCTCTACCACTTGAGCCACAGCGCCACTTCCGACTTTTTTCTTTTTGCTTATGTGGTGCTGAGGAATCGAACCCAGGGCCTCAAGCATGCAAGGCAAGCGCTCTACCACTGAGCCACCTTCCCAGCCCCTGGATCCTTTTTTCCAGGTGCATTAGATGGCCAAGGTGAGTGCTGATACTCCTACCCCCAGCCCAGCCTCCAACCACACAAGCACTTCTCTGATTAACCAGCAGCCCATACTGGTCTCGGTGTCTGCTGAGCCATCCTGCCTGGCTATCTTCTTGGACTTTGTGCTCAGCTAGAGCCTCTCCACCCAGAGGATGCTACCACAGGCGAGCCGGCCGCCCTCCCCACAGCCTCTGGGTTTTCTTCTATGAGCCCTCTTTAGCCAGGCACCCTCCCACCAACACTGGCAACAGACACCCGGGCTCCAGAGCCCGCCAGGGCAGTGATGGGACTGTGCGGTCACCCGAGGATGACGCTCCAAAGGAGCTTTTCTGCTGGGGGCACCTCGTGGCGAGAGCCCGGCCAGCCCCGTGCGGTCCTCCCGCCGACGCTCGAAGCCAGCGGGCGGCGGTCCGCTCCCGGGTCCCTGCGTCCCAAGCTCTCGGGCCATCCTCCCGGGTAAAGCCCGGGACAGACAGGGAGACAGCCTGGAAGACCCCAGGCTGGGTGGGGCGCCGTCCAAGCCCCTTCCAGTCCAGGCCTGGGCAGAGCGTTCCGAGTTGGGAGCCCGAGGCCGGCCGGCCTAGGAGGCAGCGAAGGCAGAGACCTTCCTTCTACGGGCCCGGGCCGAGCGGTGGGGCCGG